TGCATTCAGCAAGTTGATTCTTTACCACACTCACTGCCCTCAGCACCTCCTGATGACCGCAAACGATTCCATCCTCAAGATTCTTTTTTGCCCGAATTAACAATGCAGCAATTACTCGAAATACTGCAGATAATTACCCATCTTCACATCTCAGTGCAGGCATCAAACTTACAATCCTTCGCTAATTGCTTGAAATGGTTATGAAACTGCGCATTCCTGCACACTTACAAATATGCTACGGAGCGTTGTGATCTAGCACAGACAGCTGGTGATAAATGCAACTGATAACCCGGTGAAGGCGAGCCCCTATCGACAGATCTGTCCTGCATGCATTTGCGTCCCAGTGACACTGCGGCTTATCAGTGGCATATCGCATCTGATTTAATAACAGAGCGTCCTGAAGCTCCGGTGCTCGCATGTTTCTTGAAGTTTTGCGGACTCAAAATAACAGTGCATGCAGAAGTATATCACAGATATTCATGACCGGAAAAGACCTAGTCGAAAGCGTATCGGCTGCTGGTACGAGGATGCGTTTTTTGCACAGTTCCCCCGCAGGTTTTTTTCGCCAGTGGCACTTTCTTCCTGGTAGATGCTTCTAGCTAAAAGAATTGTGACTGGCCACCATGACTGTTAGAAATTATTACAATGACTCCCAATCCATGCCCAAAAAATTCAGCGCTCTGGATGCTTCGGTTACGGAGTTACGCCAATTTCCACGTGTTCGTACATGAGTAGCAACGTGAGCGTTTTCTTCGCTTCGGGTTACTTAAAGACGGCCCTAGGTAGTGCTCAAAAAGTTTCAGTACTCAAGCTGCTCTGGTTGCAGAGTTACGTCAAATTTCACGTGTTCGTACGTGAATGGTAAAGTGAATGCTTTCTTCGCTTGGGGTTACTCAAACAAGGCCCTGGGTAGCGCTCAGAAAGTTTCAGCACCCCAGCTGCTCCGGTTACAGAGTTACATCAAATTTCACGTGTTCGTACGTGAATGGTAAAGTGAATGCTTTCTTCGCTTGGGG